GGCTTTGGGGCCGGGGGAATAGCTCAGTAGAGTAAGCGGTTTCCTGGTGAGTTCAGGGGCCTGAGTTCAATCCCTGGTTCTGCCAAAAAAAACAACTCGGGCTTTGTGAGATTCAGGGGTTGTCGTGCATAACAGCTAATACACGTGGGACTGGAATTTGAAGCTCAGGAGTCTTTCGTTCTGTTTCTGTTTTGTCTTTTTGAGACAAGGTATCTGTCCCTGTGCGGCTCAGGCTGGCTGGCCTGGAACTCGCAGGGCTCCTCCTGCCTCCCAAGTGCTGGATCGCATAGTTCTCTCTCTCCCTCTCTCCCTCTCTGCCCCCTCCCTCCCCCCCACTGGCCGGGTAAAGGCAGGGTTGTGCAAGTATTGAAGTTTAGTGTACTCAGTTTGTGACAGCAGGGAGCATGAATTTATCTTCGGAGCGCAGTTCCTCTCCTCGAGGGCTGCCCCAGGTCCTTCACACTCGGCCTGAGCCTGGCAGCAGCCCAGGTAGCCCTGGCCGCCCTTAACCGCTCCAGGCTGAGTCATACTCCATGCTTCCTAGGGAGCTCCCGCAGGCCTTGGGGACTCTTCTCCTTACTCTCCCTTTAAATAAAAAGTCCAAGTGGGGTGGGCTGGAGCTCTCCTGGGACCCCAGCGCTCGCTCGGAGGCTGGGGCAGGAGCATCACTGTGAGTTCTAGGCCAGCCTGGGCTACACGGCGAGACCTTGTCTCAAAAAATAAATCTGTTGAAATTGTTTTGAGATGAGTATAAAGCAACTAAAAGCAGTTTAGTTAAATTGACTGATAATCTGAAAGATTAGATACAAAATTAAGCAAAATAATAAAGAACTCCTCGAATTAGTATTATGCTATAGAATATAACATAACTGACTTGGAATCAAATGGGTTGGCTAGAACTTTCTAAGGCTCTCTTCGCCTGTAAGTGAAGCTAATAGTCTCTACTTCACGGTGATGATTTTACTTTTTTTAAGGTTTTACACTTTTTTTTTAACGGTATCGGGGATCAAACTCAGGACCCTGCGTATGCCAGGCAGGTGCTTATGCCACTGAGCTTTCTCCCCAGCTCAGTTTTACTCTTAGTGACATAATATATAACAGTTTGGGCCTGTTGTGCCGGCCCCGCCCCCGGGGCGCACTGAGACAGCAATTGAGACTGCGTGTGGTGGTGCACGCCGTAATCCCAGCTCTTGGGAGGCTGTAAACAGGCGGATCACTATGAGTCCGATCTAGTAGTGAGACCCTGAACACCCTGTAGACCCTGCCCTAAAAAAAAAAGTTAAAACCTCTGGGCATGGTGGTGCCTGCCTGTGAGCCCAGCACTCTAGGGGCTAATGCAGGGGGGTCGCAAGTTCAAGCCCAGCCGAGCGACTTAGTGAAACTCTGCCTGGAAATAAAAACATTGAAAGGGCTGAGGTGCAGCTCTGGCTCGGTGCAGAGGCCCGGGGTCCACTGCCCAGTGCCACAGAAGCCACTGCCCTCCCCCCGGAAAGCGCCTCAAACTGTGCCGGGCGCGCAGCCCTAGTGGTCACGCATCAGCATCCCCTTGACAGGACCGTGCGGTGCCAGTGCCCAGTCCTCTTCCGTAGGTTGAAATAGAAGTTTGGGGATCATTTTGCTGCCCAGAATGAATGGAAGTGGACAGGTTTCCACCTCCCACCTCCACACACGCCGGCGCCAGCAGTCCAGGGCCAGCCGTCCAGGGCCAGCCGTCGCACTAGGCCGCTCCCAGTGGGCCTCCTCCCGCCCCTCCGGCATCGTGACATAAATACTGGCGTGAGCCGTGGTGTGACCGCAGGATTTCACAGGGCAGCTGGCGCTTAACACCTGTCCCAGAGAAGCCCTGGCAGCGCCAGGCCGGGCTGGTCCCTCCGCTGCCGAGGTGTTAATGGTCCAGAGAAAGGGCGCTAAGGCCTGGCAGGTCCACTGAAATTTAAGATCCGCTCCCGGGGGAGCAGCCAGGAAGACCTGCGCCTTGCGCTTCGTTATTAGAGCCTGTGCATAGGGTTATTTTCTTTTTTAATATTGGCTTGTTTAGAGAACTGAAACAAGTTTGGCAGAATTTTTAATGCCATTTTTTATTAGTACAAATTAATTTTATAGAATATTGGGTTTTATTGTAGAATTTAGTTTTTTCCTCCCGTTTGTTTGTTTGGGGTTGTTTTGTTACTGAGACAGGATTGCACTGTGCAGATGAGGCTCGGGTGTCCTCCTGCCTTAGCCTCCCAGATGCGAGGATCACAGTTATGCACCATGTCCAGCTGTTTATTTTATTTATTTATTTATTTATTTATTTATTTATTTTTGGCGGAACCAGGGATTGAACTCAGGCCCTTGCGCTTGCCAGGGAAGCGCTTATTCCACTGAGCCATCTCCCCAGCCCCCTAAGTCCAGCTGTTTAACTACCCTGTTTAGAAATTAAACTTCTCTTGTGCTGGCCGAGTCGTTCAATGGATTAAAGCACCTGCTTAGGCTGACACAGGGACCAGGGTTCGATTCCTGATGTGCTGTGCTGGCCCCGCCCCAGGGCACACTGAGATGGTGATTGAGACTGGGGATGGTGGCACACACCTGTAGTCCCCGCACTTGGGAGGCTGAAAACAGGAGGATCACTACAAATCTGATCTCTGTAGTGAGACCCTGTAGACCCTGTACTAAATCCATTAAGAAAAAAAAAATAGAGAGAAATTAAACTTCTCTGGGGCTACAGAGATAGCTCAGCAGTCTAAGCACCTGCCTGACAAGCGCAAGGACCTGATTTTGACCCTGATACCGCATGCCGTGCCGGCCCCAGAACACCAGGCGCACCGTGCTGGTCACTGAGTCCGGATGTGGCAGCTCACATCTGTAGTCCCAGCGCTGGGGAGGCTGAGATGGGAGGATCACTGTGAGTCCAAGCTGCGTAGCAAGACCCTGTGCAAAATAAATAAATGAATAAATAAATGAAAAAAATTTAAACATTAAACTTCTCAGGCTGGCCAGCTAGCTCAGCAGACTAAAGCACCTGCTTAGGCAGAGCGCAGCAGCCGGGGTTCGATCCCCAATGTTCTGTGCTGGCTTCGCCTGCAGGAATTGAACCCCGGTCCCTGTGTCTGCCAAAGCAGGTGCTTTAATCCACTGAGCTATCTGGATGGCCCCTGAGAAGTTTAATTTCAAAACAGTGTAAACAGGTGGACATGGTGTGCATAACTGTGATCCCCACACCTGGGAGGCTGAGGCAGGAAGACTGCAAATCCAAGGAGCATCACTACAAGTCTGATCTACATAGTGAGACCCTGTAGACCCTGTACTCAACGCGTAGGAAAAAATTTAAACTTCTCTACCAACTTTGAGTTTTCTTCCCAAAGTATCAAACCTGAATTCAGTGACTCTCTAGAGTCAGAGTTGGGGCCGGGGAGATGGCTCAGTAGAATAAGCGCTTCCCTAGCAAGCGCAAGGGCCTGAGTTCAGTCCCCGCCTCTGCCATAAAAAAATAAAAAATAAAAATCTAGAGTCAGAGTTAAGATCCTACCAGGATATTGAAAATGAGTGGAGGACTGGGGCAGTGGCTCAGTAGAGTAAGTGTTTCTCTGCTTTTATTCCCACAAAATAAATAAATAAATAAAAAATACCTCTTCTGTCATATCTATATGTGTCCCACTCATCTGCTGAGACAGTGTGCAAAGAATTAGCTATAAACAAATATGTAGCCGGGGATATAGCTCAATGATACAAGTGCCTGCTTGGCAAGCACAAGGTCCCAAGTTCAATTCCTGGTACTGCAGAAAAGAAAAAGCAAATATGTAATTAGTAAAACAAATAAGTTATATAATCCAGATGTCTACCAAAATCATCTCTACGTGGAAGAACTATGTGTACACTAAAGTCCTTGACTTCTGAGTTCAATCCCTGGTAACACCAAAAAAATAATAAAATAAAAATAAAGCCCCCAACTTATGAACACTAGAGTCCCTAACTCTCGCAGGTTTGCTATGTGACACTGACTTCCTCAGACTTAGCAACTAATGTAATTTATGAACATTTTTGCAGAACTGAGCTCACTAGGCCAGGGAGATGGCTCAGTGGAATAAGTGCTTCCCTGGCAAGCGCAAGGGCCTGAGTTCAATTCCCGGTTCTGCCAAAAAAAAAGAACTGATCTCACTGTAAATTGGGGACTCACTGTACTTTTATTTTTGTAGCGTCTTTCTTCTTTTTTTAATTTTCAATAATTTTAATTTTATAATCAGGAAATTATTTTTTTCCCACCTAAAATCCTTAAGCCCTGAGTGTGTTTGAAAATCCTGCCGGCACTGTTCTGCGTCGGCCGAGCTGTCTCGGTAGCTGGGGCTGTTGTGTAATGTAAAATGCTGACAGCATGGAGAGAAGTAACGTCACTGAGACGCAAAGCTGCGTGGGCAGCCCGCAGCACTGTGGGAGCCGACGCCGCACCCTTGGAACTTTCTCCCCAGGTACGCCGGGGTCCTGCTGGGCATCACCAACACGTTCGCCACCATCCCGGGCATGGTCGGGCCCGTGATTGCCAAGGATCTCACCCCAAACGTGAGTAGACACCCCAAACGTGAGCCCACCCTTTGTGGAAGCTGAGTGTGGTGGTGCGGAAGCCGGCCTGGGGCTGCACCCCTGTAAGCCGCACTCAGGAGGCTGAGGCAGGAGGC